CGCAACACACCTTTCGTCACAAACCACCAGATCACAGCGTTAGACTGGCGCACCTCGAAAGACGACTGAGCAGACCATTGTCTGGTAAACTCACAACTTAACCAAATATTAATTACCGTAGCTTTCCATTGCCGAAACACATATTCTTGTATCTCATTATTTTGAAACAAATTGATATCTAAACTTCATATGTTTGTATGGACATGCCGGCAATGGAAACCATCAATTACATTTTTCATATTCATGTTTAACATCAATACCTAACTTAGAAACGCGATTTATCGTGTAAATTAAACATCTATTCATTTTATTTAACATTTAATTCAACAACATATATTGGCCAATAAGTTGAACTAAATCTATCAAGTTTTTAACTTGATTAGATTGAAGATAGCTCTGGTAAATGTATTTAAAATTATATTTTGACTTGTTAACTTACATATTTACTCAAACAAATTGTATAGCGGAGCAACAAGCAGCCACGGTCGCTGAATTAGTCCAGGTTACGGCGCAGCGCGACGCTCACGAAGCCCTTATGGCAGCTGACAGGTTAGTTTTTTGCATTAGCAAATACCCAGTTGCCGTTCCTTTATCGTTAAAATAACAAAGTTTCCATTGCTGATAGACATCTCGTAACAAGATGAAAGTTGTACGGTATTCATACCGTATTCTTACTATAAGAGAATTTAAATTGGTCCTCCACTGCCGCTTTATATTCCTGTTTTATTTTTTAATTGTTTTAATGTCGGAACATTCACTAATAACCAAAACAACTCGTGTTTCTCGATTGAATACTTAGTGTTGTCGTGTAAAATGAGAGGGATGTTTATTCATAGTAAATCACAAACACAAACATTTTTCAGAAGGCGCCATACAACCGGCGGGAACGTGACAAAATAGAAAAACGATGCCATACTTGCGTTGCATCACAACCTCAGTGACAAAACCCTGGCCTGGAAGCTAATCTTTACCTTTATCTATAATTCTCTAAAGTTTATTGTTAAAAAATAAATATTTAGATAGAATGGTTGTCTCCTCGTTAAATATGTTCAAGGTTCGCTCGTAATTATGAAATGCTGTTGCCAAAATTTATGGCAGAACTTTGCAGTCTTATAATGTTAATACATTATAGACAAAAATGTAATAAAATATGTAAATTGGTGCCCGAATGTGGCATTGTTACCCTGAAAGCAATTTTCTAAGTCTCGCTGTAAATTATAAGATTGTAGGAATATTATTTATGTATATTTTTAAATCAATAAATCATGACTTGACAATATACTTTGTAAACATATATCCGTATATTTTAGTTAAATATCTGCGAACAATCTATACTAGTATTTCCAAAGGTGAACTTTGAGATATTTCTAATCATTGAGCTTTATTTAGTTTTATTATTTAGAGATTAATGACTACTTTTTTATAAAACTAACGAGAACATACATAAAATTTTGTTAAAGCACCTACAAATTTGTGTTTTTTTAAATTTCGTAGATCAAACTGATATGCCCAGTAATTTTAATATAGTAATATAACGTAAAATGTTTTTTATATGATTATTTAAATATTTGAAAGAATAACCTGCAATTAAATGCATAAATAGTTTTAATAATTCAGTACAATCAATGTTATTACAACGCAAAAATTTATATTTGGTTGGATTTTGTTTATTTTATACGATAACAGATTGTACATATTTAAAAATAATAGATTTTACATCACAAATATAGTCCACGAAGTAATACATCACATTGCTATAAGCCACGTAGTTTTAAAATTAGCAAATTTGAATATATACGAAATAGTCGAGTCTTATTAAATGTATAAAATAAAATTAAAATAATTATTAATTAATTTAATAATTAGTTAAATTAATTAATTGAAAAAATAAATAATTAATTTTATAATTAGTTAAATTAATTATTTTTTATTTTTTAATTAAAGGACAATTATTTTTTGTCATTTTCGAGTTTATTTTCAACGCATATATATAAATAAAGTATTAATATAGGTGATTTATTTCTACTTACACTTAGTATTTTTATTTTCAACACTTTATTGCACTTATTTTTGCGTATTTTTTTATTAATCACTAATGTCGAGCTATTATATTTTATTAATTTTTAACTATACATGCAAACAATGTAGTTAATAATATATAACATATACATAGATTTTCTTTGTTACATAGCTTTTTTATTGAATCTATACAATTCAGTAAGTCTATGTATAGTCCTATTTAATAATGGAAATAAGCAATATATAAAATCTCGTAGTACTTCCACTGTTGACAAATGTATCCGTAATACTGTTTACTCCAAACCAAATATCAAACCAAACGTAGAACGCAATGCCTTAAAGAAAAAAAATATGTTTTTGTGTAAATTTTCTATTTTTTCAATGGTCTACGAGATTAAACAAACATTTTATCATCTATTTTAAACAAAGTAATTTTTTTTCATATATAGATTAACGTAATTATTTGTAAATTGAAAAATATTTGTGTTCTTAAATGTATTTGCAAAGTATATATAGTATATAATATGCATAAATCGTTTTAAATATCTTTTATTTCGTTTTATATAAAATAAAGCGTCTCTAAAGTACTACGCCTTAGGTAATCATATCACAGAAAATGGCAAACTTCGTAAATTCTGTTGGTAATCTTAATAATTTTTTAAAGATTTTTTTTAAGTCATTTTCAAATTTTTTTCGCCAATTATTTTTATTATTCGATCTCTTGATGCTGATTCGAAAAAAGAAAATTAATATATCTCAAATTCAGTTGAGAAATCATTTTAAATCTGCTCACCCATTTATATATTAATTAGCTGGTTTGTTGAACGTGGAGGCTTTGATTTGATGACAAAAATATTTTCACAAAAAGTTGTAGTTTATTTACCAATATAATATGAGATGTTGATGTGCTAGATATGCCAAATGTTGAAACTATAGCGTATATTGTCTCTATAAAATTATGTGTGCTCAATATTAAATTCTGCTTTATCAACAATTTCACTTGTCTGTTTGCAGTCACGTTGCTCGCAATATCGCTTCCTGTTTTAAATTAAATCTTTCTCGGTTGTAAGAGAATTAGTAAGTAAATTATAAACTATTTTTGTACGCATATCGCCTTCGATTTTCACTAGTTATAAAAAAGATATGAAAAGAAGGTTGTTATAAAGAAAGAAAGTGAAAAAGTGATTTGTAAAATTCTATTTTCAAAACTTACAGTAGATTATAAAATAAAACGCTTTAATGTACTGATTAATTGGATAATTAAAAGCAGTGACTATATTTTAGTGTTAGACTTTTAGACTGCGAAGAGCAATATCAATGTTAGAACAATATGATATTTAAGGCTCGGTAGAATTATTAGTCGCAATGCAGCTTTGGCGTCGACACCCCAATCTAGCTTATAAGGCGGGCACATCCTATGTACGCGAACTTCCGTTGCTCCTAAAATGTTACCGATTCTTAGACCCCTTTTTATGTGACGAAAATGCCTTCACATATCTTGCACTTGAAGTGGTAAGAGCGGATTATGTCGAACTCACACCGATTAAAAGCCTCACACGCATGGGGGCGATGCTAAGGGATCGCTTGCGCAAACATCCGCGGCCAAGGGTCAAGGATATAAGATCGTTGCTATAAGGGTCTAAGCGTCGATAACTTTGTGTGTATTTGCTGATATACGATTATGTAACAAAGGATTGCGTGTGCATATACTTAAGAATAGCGCAAACTCTTTAATATAGATAACAAATGAACTTAGGTCTCTTTTTTACCCTTTGCACTGTATTTTCAGGTTTTAATATTTTTAAAAATTAATAGCAATTATCATCGCATTACTTTTTTAATTATTGCTGAATGTTTAATTTTATAATAAGTTAAAGTTAAGTAAATTTTTGTATTGTCTTTGCAGTATTTTTTATTTCATTATACCGCTTACAATGTTCAAATATTTGTTAGATAGCATAAGTCACACAACACATGTCATTTCCCAAACAATGTGCCTCATACCGACAAATAGATTTATAAGAATATTAATAAAACATATAACGTCGTTCTTTATATTAAAAATACTATATTTGTATGTGCTTTCATTGCTGATTCACTCAAATAAGTTTAAAATAAATTTATGTTACAAATATGTTGATTAGTTTTTCATTTTTCATAACTTGTTCTTAGGTAACCCTAACACAACATGAACTGGTACAATGACGACTGGATGTCCAAAATTACTAATAAAAATACGGGAAACGTATTTCGCGATTGCTTAACTTTCACTTCGTAAGTAATACGAAACAGGGTTTGTAAATAAAATAACAAATTTCTATGATGATCACAATTATTTATTCTAAAATACACGATATAAAGATAATACTTATAATCCTGGTATTTTTAATCAAAACCAAGTTACGCACAACGTACATTAATTACAGAAAAGATCTTTTTTCTATATGGTCAATGAAATGCATAGAATGAGAGGGAATAACTAGAATATGTAAAATTATTTTTGTACATATGAAAGTTATTTATTTAAATATTTACATTTTTGATGATTAGTTCCATGATTTGTTTTGTTTCTGCCCGTCCAATGGCACATTTTTTTTATTTGAATTTGTTCCAATAAATAGGACTTGTACTGAATATAAAAAAATATTTATTTTGTACCATTCTGAAAGTTATTTCCTTATTTATTTTAGACTGTCTTCATCTTTTTTAATTATTCGTAAAGGAATTAAATTTTTTGGTTCCAATTGTGTGGTGATTAATAAAATCAAATATTAAAAACAATGTAAATTCGGTCATTTTCTTTTTTTAAAGCAATCATTCAATTTTAAATAATAGATGATGTCTTGATTTATTTTGCGATTCAATACATTCAGTAATGGCTTTAAATACATAATAATTAGTTCACTTCACAGTATATTGAATTTAAACATGTAAAAACTATATTATCACTTTGATTTAAATATTATAAGGAACACATTAATATATTTTGCTTTACTGTTCATTATTGTGCCTCAAATAAACAAAAGAACTTGAATGCTAAAAGCTTAGCGAAATACCAATCAAGCTAACAACAAATTAATTCATATTTATAAGCCTTCATTGAATTTGATTTTAAATTTTTCGGTAACATTTTGAATATAATAACAGAAGAGAAAGGATAGAGCATTAGCAATGATTAACTTCAATCTAATCTTATAAATCATATAAAATTATTTACATTTTATAGTTGTTTTTATTTTGAAATAACTAACATTATTAAGAGTATGAATTATAAATTTTATAAATTACTTATATAAATAAAAACACATAAGAAAAGATCAAGGTAATCATAGTTCAAAAGCTGTAGAATATAATTTAAATAAATTTTACAGTAAATACTTCAACTAATGTGACCATCAGTCCGCTCTCATGAACGACTACATTCATGAAGTCATGAACTATCTTAATTAGTAAATAAATTGACAAACACAAGTATAAAACTAGTATAGTGGTAAAAACTTTGAGATTACGTCAAACCTAAACGATTTGAAAGTTTTTCAATAAATAAGATATTAAATTAAAATGCTTAAACATAGTTTACAATACGCTTTGTGTATTGAATGATATAGTTTTCGATAATAATATTAATGTCTAGGTTTGTGGTTGTGGTGGGTACGGTTTGAGGGTGCCCAGTCCCGGCGATGATGATGATGATGACGGCGTTTGTCCCGCGAGTGTGGCGCGGGGCAGACGTCTGCCACCACCAGTTCAGAGCCGTCTTTAGGGGCTTCTCGTTCGTGTCGTCTATGACCGTGCTTGGCGCCGGCGGCCTCGTGGAGCTCTTCCCAAGCCTGCCGGTAATACCTGTTGAGGCCGCTACGCGACTCTGACGAGGATGAGTCGAGCGACGCCACTGTGTTGCAATCCGGGGACACGTGGTGCCTATACCTCTTTCCGTGGTTATGTTTCCTGCTGATATAAATAGTACATTTTAACTATCATAAAAATGTGCTTTTATACAAATATATAATAATGGTCGGCAGTTATAATAATATAGTTATAATTATAACAATACACATAATGCACAGCCTAAGTCAAATCTCGAAAAGTGTGCTTGGCGGAGGAGAAGGGAGTAGTTATACGTATACCAGAATTAATCCGAAACCTCAACGATCAACATAAAAATGCATCGTACAACCTTATTGTGTACGATTTATAAGCCTTGATACTAACGAATTGCTATGAGAACATGATGAGAGAATTAAATTACATGTGTTATTTTACTCCGTCTAGCTTGAACTTAAAGTGCCTTAAGAATATAAAAATAATAGGATCGTACTTCTATCCATAAGCTTAAATTACTAACTTGGATAAATGACCTAAGACTTGTTGGTAAATAGGAAACTTACATCATAACAGACTTGCTTAATATTTACAATTAAGTATAGCTATTTGATTTGTATTGTAGCGTCTTATGGTAACATTCTGAATCAGTGCTTGGACCGTGATAGTTTTATATTTACAGTCAATGTGTTTTGATTTTAGCGTTTCGCGATGTTTCATTGCATGTAGCTCGTGCAAATTATATTTTAAGGTGATAAATCATAACATTTGTGCAGCTCGGTGCTAACCAATTTTGTTTCCATATTTTAACAATGAATATAAAGTGCTAGTGCGCGCGTGACGCAAGGCAACATGGTGGCTATTGTCAAAATATACTGCGATCCAAAAATGTAGCGCTCTTTAAATATTCTTGGAAAAAGAAACTTTTATTTCATTTCTTTATTTTTCACCATATTAATCTTA